AGTCGCTCTATAACAAACACTATAATTCACGTCTCACGTGGCCAATAATATTTTGTCCGCATACATTCAATTACTCATTAACTCTCCGTCGCTTCGTGGTCGGTTTTATATATACAAGACTACACTATTTCTAGAAAGATCACGAGATTTAAGGAAAAGACGTGAAAGTTCGAGAATGACGTGGCGTGATATTAGTCACGTGACCTCGATGTCGTAACAGTATAATACTCTTCATGTACAAGTTAAGTATATTAAAAATGCTCAAAAATAAATAAAATTAGATAAAGTTTATCCACTATACTTTCTTTTTTAAAATAAAACCTGATTCTAATCATACTTTCTCTTATTATTCTAGAAAAGGAATTTGCTTATTTTATGATTTCTTACCTCTTACTTACTTTATTGTCTTTGCTGTAAGTCTTAGTAAATGGATGCAAAAAATGGAAGAATTAATGGAATGCATGACAAAAAGTTACGATCAACAGCAATAAATATTAAAAGTTTTATTGGAAGGGACTCGGGCAGAAAACAGATGCTCTGAAAGAATTTATAATCTTCAGGAAACAGTAGATGAAAAATAATTTGCAAGAAGATGAAGTATGATTACTAGCAAAAGGATTAACATTTACTCCCATATATAAACGTAATAAAATACAATGGCAGAAGATATATATGAATTAAATAGTAAATTTAGACTTAAAGAATGTTTTTATGAAGTTTAAAAAAAAATGAATCCCTAGTAAAAGGTAAATGAGATTTTGATCATGTTTAAAAATTATATTCTGTTACTGAAAAACAATGGAAGGATAACTTAACATTAAAGAAATGGCAGTCGCTCAACAAACTTAAAAATTCTAATTTGATCTTTCAAAAAGCAGAAAAAGATAAAATATGGGTAATTATGACTCATTAATTTTATAATCAGATGGTTTATGAGCATATAAATGATACAAAGATTTATCAAAAAATGGGAAGTATAAATCAATTGAGATGCATAAATTTCATAAAAAAATTAAGGCATTTTGTTGATAAATTTAAGGTGATATTAACCAAAAAAAAATAAAGATTTTTTTTTAAAATAATTCAGAAATTGAGTACTTTAATGTACTTTCTCAGATACATAAATCAAAAGAGATTAATGAGTTATCGTTGGAAACAAAAAGTGAATATATTCAAACCTCCCAATATTTCAGGAAGACTGATTGTAAGAGGTGATAGAAAATACTGAACATTTAAGTGACCTTTTGGACATATTGTTAAAACCTTTTTTATCTCATATTTTGAGTCATACTAGGAAGGATTTTAAATTTCTTGAAGAAAATCAGAGTTTTGTTTCTTTAGATGTGGTAGCTCTGTATCCAAGTGTTGAACATGATTATGGACTTAAAGCTGTGGAATGTTTTTTAGTTAAAAGAAAGAATTAATTCATCCCAGGTTTAATAAAGGTTTTATCTTCAAAGGTTTAGATATAGTCTTAAAAATATTTTTCTACTTATGAGGAACAAATTTTTCATCAAATTTCTGGTTCAGCAATGGGCACAAAAGTTGCTCCAACTCATGTTAATGTCACTATGGGATTTATAAAATTACAACTATTTAATATAATACCTAAATATTTTGAAGAGAATCTTGTAGTTTACGTAAAATCTTTTTGGAAAAGATTTTTAGATGATTGTTTTGTAATATGGAAAGATACTCAATATATTAATAAGTTTGTTGGAATTTTAAATTCAATAAACAAGGAAATTAAGTTTATCTTTGAAAGAAATAATAAAGTTTAGTCTGTTTTAAATGTGTTGGTTAGTGCTTCATCAGAAAAGGTAAAATGTAACTGAAATTTTTTATAAATCCACAAACTCGCATCAATATGTAGATTTTTTTGTAATAATCCCAAACATATAGAATTAAATCTGGTAAATAGATTATATTGTTTGGTTTACAATGAAAAACAAGAAATTAACAGATTATTATAATTAAAAAAAATTCTTAGTTCAGTGTCACTATCCAAAAAAAGTTATGAAAATGCTAAGAATAAGTTTTTAAATAAAAAACAGACAGATTAGTAAACCTAAAGAGAATATTATTCCTTTTGTTATGACTCATTGTTCAAATATATATATATTGATATTTATTTTTAATATTTAATTTAAAAAAAATGTATTCAAAGATAATAAAATTATTTCCTCAAGAAGATAACCTAAAAAATTTGTATAGATTTTTGAATAAACCTAAAGAAAGAGATTTTTCTAAAGAAGGTATTTTCAGTTGTGAAAGGAAGAACTGTTCTTTATGTAATTTAGGTTACACGAAAATTACCAAAACAATAAAGAACAATCAATATTTTGTTTTCCACTTATAACTCATTTAGTTGCAATTATAAGAACGTAATATATCATTTAGAATGTGTAAATTGTAGTGAACTCTATATTGGTGAAACAAATGATTTAAGATGAAGGATAAATTCACATATATTACATGTTAGATGCCCCGAAAAAAGTCTACTATACGCCAGCAAACACCTTAATGAATGTATTTTGAAAAACTTTAAAATTCTAAAAGAATCATATTTTCATGTTTTATCTTTTTAGGCATGTAATGTAAAACATAAAATACTACTTTTCGTAAAATATTTTATACTGAAAAGTCAATAAAGTAAGTCAGAGGTATGAAATTATAAAATAAACAAATTGCATTTCTAGAATAATAAGAGAAAGTGTAATTATAATAAGATTTTATTTTAAAAGGGAAGTATATTGGATAATCTTTGACTAATTTTATATATTTTTGGACATTTTTAATATCCTTAATTTATACATGGAGTGTATTACATGTTTATACATTTGGAAAAATATATGTATTTAAGATATATATGTTTAGTTGATAAACAATATTTTAATGGTTTTTTTATTCTCAGAATATTATATCTTGAAGAGTTACCTTTGAAATCACGAAATCGATTGAAGAAATTAATAAAGGAGAGCAAAAAATGAATAGTCTGATATTCCAGTGTGTTGTTATACATATACGTATATATATACCAATTAGTTGCTACATATCAGAAAAGACAGCAAAAATCAAACAATAGAGGTATAAGGTCATTTTCTATATCTGTAAATTTTTGCTTATAACTTCATCGTTAGGAATAAAACGTAGTCATTAATTACCTAAATCAGTGTTCAATGTAAAAATTAATGTTGTGGTTAAAAAATAACATTCATGACAAACAGGATGTTTGAATATGTTTTTTTTTGTCGGGGTGTGTGTGTGTGTGTTACACTTTCCTTCTTTTTTCTTCACTGACCACGAAATACCAAGTTCAAGTCACTGGTCGTTACCGTTTATAATTTAATTATTTTAGAACAATTTGTTGTGTTTTAATACAAATATTTGTTTGAGTAATACAGCTTTCGATTAACCATGGTGCTCAAAATGAACTTAAAAATATTTATTCTTATAATTATAAACAACACATATCACCAATTATTTCATTTATTTGTCAGTTGTTTACCGTGTATCGTTTTCTTTAAAAGGAAAAGAACCAATCGAAGTTTTAGGAAATATCAAAATTAATTAAATTATGCAGATTCTGTAGATGAAGTCGTCTAGTCAAATATATATAGGTTACAGAAAACTGATGTTTGTGCATATTTGTGTTTCTTGTATTTCTGTATCTTTTATGTATCATCTATTTTGCACTTTAGCCTTTGAGTATGTTTGTACACAATGTTTTCGTAATGGCATTTTTGTTTATTAAATCTGTTATTTTTTGTTCTTATATGTGCATATATGTGTTTGTTTCCTCAGTACAACTTACAGAGATACGCTGCTTTAGCTCCTTATGCACAATCTGTTGCTGGAAAACTCTAATTATTTTACAGTTTCATGAACGATCTTTTTGAAGTGTCTCTGATTTCTTATTTTCCTCTTTTTGAACAATTTTACTTTTGAAATTCGCATCTCGTCATCTTCATTGCCTGTGACAACACCTTCTTTTGCATGAATGCAACCTAACACCGACTTGCACCTTGGAATGACTATAACTGTAAGTACTGCAGTTTACATGTTGTATATTTTGTTTGACTGGACAACTTGGAAACATGTTAGTAAAATGTACTGGAAAATCTGTAGCAAAGCAAAACAGATAGATATTTCAAACTGATACCATAGAAAATATAAGGCAAAGATGTATGTGTATATATGTACATTGTGTATGTAAAGATTTATATCTGTTTATTTTCGCCGGACCATGATACATTCAAACTGTTATTTCCAAGACTTCAATATGAAACCACTTAGCTTGAGTTAAAGCAATATTTGGTTGAACTATTTTATCTTTATGTAACTCAAACAAATAATTTTCTAGGTAAAAGCAATGGTTTTAGTCTGTGTGTAACGAGGAAACAACATAAGCTACAGGTGTAGTTTTACACTGTTATCTTAAAAGAATATGCTTTAAAATGACTTTGTTCATTTTTACTTGATATTGTGTCAGATTTGTACCGTCGAAAAATAGACTAGGATTCATGTTCTTTTTTATATAGGTATTATGCATTAGAAAAATATTTTTACATAGCTATAAACTCATACACTAGTTTACACTTTACTTTCTTTCAATGTATTATTTAACCTGAACTTTAACCTGGGAAAGTCTTTTTAGAAAATTATACTAAGAAAAGAAGAGGTTCATTATTCTCTTCACGTGATAAGTTCCCATACTTTTAAAATATGAGATTCAGTCTGTTTTATTTTTTGGATTCGCCACAAGTTATTGAATTAGAATTGTTTCAAGGAATTACACTCTTCATCAATTATGCTAGACAATACGATTCAGTGAACCAGGCCGGGTATCGTTTTATCAAATACATTTATTAATAAAGATTATGAGCAAGTGAAAGTTCATTACAAATACATATAACCTACAGTTCATCATTTAAAAAATTCCTGGTCTTGTTCTCAGGTCTGTTTGATAGGTGAAAGTGTCCGATACTGTCTTAAAGGGAAATTCAAGAAAACTGTGGCTAGGCCTTATGTTTCATTTTCACTGGAATACTTAGTGTTTTAGTGATATACAATTTCCTCCAGTTTTGTAAGTTTGTTACCACTGCAGTTCTTTCTTTACAAGAAGTAAACTTCTAACGGTGCTTACTGATGTTGACATTCGATCCAGAAAGGATATATGTTTCTTTTGTGAAATATCACACACAAACTTCGTGTATTCAGTTTAGTAACTATGTTTGCCCATGAAAGTAGAAATAAACAAAAACATAAACAAATTTAGTGCCGTACAACCAAAGCAGAAAGTAAATGTTATCGTTACTATTATTATTTTAATAATAATTTAAAGTAAATACTATTAAACGTACCCCAAGTCAATGTATTCGATCTTGCTATTATATCATTTTTATATAATTTTGTTTTGTATCTTCTAGTAATCTGTAATCGTTTATATGCATAGATAAAACTGCCGTTAATAACACAAACTTTAAACATTCTTAAATAAACAAGAGGGAATCCTCAATAGCCGCGACACGTGAAATTCATTTCGGCAAGATTAGAATAAATTAATCTATAAGACCTTTGTTTCCTGTTTTATTAGATATATTTTGTGCGCCAGCAATACCAAGCGTAGGGCACGTGTATACCCGATTCGATTTTATTACTCATCAGGATCTCTACCAGCCTACCCCCAAATTGAAATTCTTTTAGGCAGGATTAAAATAAATATTTCTATGAGTCCTTGGGCATGATCAAATACCTCAATCGAAAGGGTTTGACCTTCTGAGTCCAAAACTGTAATTAGATCTAAAATCGGTCAAGAGATGATGGAACTATAAGCAAAAGGTTTGTGCTTGAAAGAAAGAAAAAAAAAAACAACAAGAAAGAAACAAACTCAGAGTCATTCTATGAGCTGCTCAGCCGCGGCTAAAAGTAATGGTGCGATAAGTTGATTATAAAATTTGTCATTGTTAAATGCTTTAAGAATTTCAGAAAATTGTGAGAGATTTTTTTTCCAAATAAATTTAGCCAAATCACGTCATAAATTATGGAACTATATAGTTCTATACAGTAACATTTCTATTTTTTTTTACAGGAAAATAAGCTAGGGGACATATGTTTCTCTCTACGCTATGTGCCCACAGCTGGAAAACTAACAGTTGTTATTCTCGAAGCCAAAAATCTAAAGAAAATGGACGTTGGTGGTTTGTCAGGTAATAAAGTAATGTATGTGTATATATTAATTATAAGAGACCTTAACACTGTCTAAACAAGAAATACTGAAAACAAAACAACCCATAATCAACCCAATCAACTCATCTTAGTGTTAAAAAAAATCTATATTTTTCATCACGTGATACTACCAGAAAATCGACAGAAGCTTGATCTTTGTATTTTTCGGAGCAAAGTCTTTCAAGATGCAAAGAAACACCATTCTATACATTTGACCTTACATTTCTATATACATTCAAAGTATGTGAGAACATACACAAGGTAAGTAGCGAAGACCTTTCGACACACACTAGCATGAATATTCGTTTCTCTTCTAGTACAAACATTTTGTTTTGATTAACTTCTTATGAAATTTAAGAACTTGTGCATAACTGATTTCATTTTCTAGGCGGTAACGATGTTTAAAGTTCAACAATGAATAATCTAAGATAATACAACCATCTTGTTCTAATGGCTTGTGTCAGTCAGTGCGCCATCTAGTGAGAAGGATATTATTATTGTTAGTTTTGTAATATCACTGTTTTGGTTTAACTGCCTTAGTAAATATGATGTGTAACCGTAACATTAAAAACAAAATAAAAACAAACAAACCTTACTTGTTTTAGTCTATCCTAAATATATAAGAAAATTTTATCGTGTTCACATGATCTTGCCTTTTTTGTTATATTATCTCTATGGTAGCATATTAAGTTGAAATAATAAGTGCCTTATTAAGAATCATTTAGATAATAAATACAATTAGAGTTACACGTACAATTTACATTGATAAATGAAAATTATCAAACAGCAGATAGAAATGAAACGTGTTTTAGCAAAACAGATATACAAGTAGACAGTTTTTAATTTATAGAATCATTAAAAACATACCACAAATTCATTGTCTGAGATTGCTACCCATAATACTAGATCCTTATGTGAAGATTAGTATCCACCAAGGAAGTCGACGCTTGAAGAAAAAGAAAACGACAATCAAGAAACGGACCCTTAACCCATACTACAATGAATCTTTCACTTTCCAGGTCTCTTTTGAACAGATTCAGGTTAGGTGAAACGGCATGCTTTTATTCAATAACTAAGTATGCTGTTGAGTGTCTTGATGTTTTCAGTTACTTTTATGTTCCTTTGTTGTGGCATGCTTTCATGTATGAAAAAAACAGCAAGTTTATTAATTACGAAATCTACAATGGGGAACCAGTAGGCCACCACAATGCAGAATATGGAACTTCACTGTAAGTGACTTATTGCTAACCACAATCCAAACTATTTCTTCTTCTGGTATGTGCATATATATAATTTATAGCTTTAGGAAACTAGCTGCATTAGCATTTCATAGTTGGGAAGACTTTTGAGCTATTTTTCCAACTGGTTGTGGCGACTTTACGGTTCCTCATTGTGTGTGTGTAGTCGAAGAGAATTACACGATGAAAGGACCCAGGAAAATTCAAATCACTCATAAAAACTCTAATTACATAAATTTTACCAAATATTTCGAGAAAATTCAAGAATATAAATAATAAGAACATAACGAAATTTGAAAATATATGTTTGGAAAATTACTAAATCAATATTTGGAAGTAAGCTGTCCCTTTCTTCGAGTAATTTCTCACATCTTGAAGTTTCTGATAAACTTTCTTCTGTCCTTATGAGTTTTTTCTTGCTCTTCTATTATTTTTTGGCTGATCTGTACTCTATCGCCGGCACCTCTATGACGGTGGGCATTTTTTCTCTACTTCCTCTACAACTTTCTTATTCGCCTTCTCTTGCTGTCAAGTGCAGATCCGTATGTGAAAATAGCTATCATGGTGAACGGCAAAAGAATGAAGAAGAAAAAGACGAGCATCAAGAAGTGCACGCTCAATCCTTATTATAATGAATCATTTGCATTTGAAGTGTCTTTTGAGCAAATTCAGGTATAGCGTTTTTCTCTCTCTCTCTCTCTCGAGCTTTTCCTATTGGCTCTTTCTTTTCGAGAATGTCTATTCAAACTGTTCAAACATTGTAAATATTAAAGATAATCAAAAACGAAGCATAAATATGTATGTGTGTGTGTATCTATAGCTTTATATATAAAAAGTAAACTATTGGAGATAATTCGTGCTCAGAATTTCTATATTAAGAAATTATTTTTTTATGCGAGAATGTTTAACTATAATTAATGCTTATTTCGGCCCGGCATGGCCTGGTGGTTAGGGCGCTCGACTCGTAATCTGAGGGTCGCGGGTTCGAATCCCCGTCACACCAAACATGCCAATCTCCGCCTTTGCCTGGTCCCAAGTTTAGGATGAGAAAGGAGGAGGGTTGGGCGCGGGGCTAGCAACTCCACCCCGTAAAAACCAACCTGCTACAAGTAACTGCAACAACACCTTCAGTTGGCGAGGTGTTGTTGCGCCCCTATGCTCCATTGGGAGTTTACAAGAATAAAAAATAAAATGAAAAAATGCTTGCTTCAATTTTTTAAAATACCATAAAAACCTTAGTAACTGCGTTTTATTGCTAATGATATTCATAAATCGTATTTTTGATAGTGATTATTATTAGTTTGATTTATAAACGTATATGTGTATGATAGTTCGAGTTCGAATACACAGGCTTTCCGCTGACGTAACTCAAGAACAAACTGACTTCAGCTTATATAGTTACAGTTTGTTGTAGAATGTATGTATATACAAATGTTTGTATTTTTTTCATAATGAAAGAGGTTGTCTAACTAAGTAGCTAGATTTAGCATCCCGATTTTATTCTCCTTGCAATAGTATAGTTTAAATTTCAAAGTATGAGGTTTTAATTTAAATGTTGAAGTGATATTTCAACAACTTGTGCTAATACATCTTTGACTACCTTTTCTCCACTTGGTCAGTTCTTTTAAAACTTGAACTTGTGTAACAGAAGATTTTACTTATTGAAGTGAGGCTTACCGAGAATGGAAGACTTAGCTAGGTCTAAAATAATTATGACTAGCGTATAGCCCGTCAAAAATAACTGGGTAAGTACTACCACCCCACCCCCATAGTATAACCTAATCTCACATTTCATAGCTAACTGAAATAAACAAATTTTGCAAAATCAAGCTTGACCAACAAAGAGGCAGAAAAGTGCAGTCGAGGCAGTCAAACGTCTATAAATCCGCTTGTGAATAGATATGTTTACTTTCATGATCAATTTTATGCGCTTAGCTCTAGGCTAGGTGATCCCACAATACGTCTGTACTTTAGGCTTATTATACCAACACTCGCTACACTTATATAGTTTCAAGGCAATCCCCCTTCACAGCCCCCTTGCACCCCCTGTCAGTAAAATCGTAATGGCCAAACTGTAATGGAACTATTCTATCTGGATAAATATATTTTAGCTTTTATGACTCCTATTTCGAGAAATCCAGCGTGACGTGACGTGACACACACCGGCTTTTATATTGGTTAGATTTTACTGAATTCACCTCAAATAATTCTTTTTTCTTGTAAAACCACAGGAGATTCTATTCTCTCAAGAAATCTCCTTGCTCAGAATGGAATATGGCCGAGTAATCTTGTACATTGATCTTTCTTGAGCTTTATTTAATCCTTATTTTATGGTTCTATTGATTTTGTAATTTTGATAGCACCAGATCGAATATTTACTATTATTTACATGTATTTGATTGCACTGATATACAGAAAGTCCACCTAGTAGTAACAGTAGTGGATTACGACCGTATTGGAACTTCTGAACCAATAGGAAAAGTTGTCCTGGGATGTAACGCAACTGGGACTGAGCTACGTCATTGGATGGATATGTTGTCATCTCCACGTCGTCCAATTGCCCAATGGCATTCATTGAAGGAGCCAGTGGATGGAGGAGAAAATTGAAAGTAAACGGTACGTATGGGTTATTGAATATTTAGAAAAAGTTGAATCCAATTATATATTGTAAAGTTCAAACATTGAGTTTGTTTGAGAAATTAGCTGACAGCTTTATTCATTCAATCATCCCTATTTCGCGCATTTATACATTTGTTTTGTATTTTTATACACCCTGAATGAAACTTACACAAACAATATGGTGAATAATAATTTTCTCTAATCTTTTTGTTTTTTCACCTGAATGACACCTTACGCAAACATTGGTCTAAACAACCTGGTCAGAGACCTCTATATTTCAGATTTAGCCGTCTTTAATTTTTCGTAATAATATAACTTTGAACTGTGCACCAAACGTAAAACAATCCTTCGCCAGTACCATCCGTCTAGAGTGAATATTCTTAAATGAATAACGTGACTGACTGTCACTTATTTAACGCATTCACAGTTGAAATTGGGAAGCGTGTTTGATATCACCAGGTCTTGAAATCGAGATCCTCGGTTCTCCAGTCCGATGATTTAGACCATTAGGTCACACTCGAGTTTTCAGTAGTATCTAAACCTTTAAAGATGTTACAAAAACTGGGAATCAGATTATTGAAAAATGTTGATTTAAATCGAGAAAAACAATAGAAACAAAACAGGTGTCAGGGAGGAAATGGGGAAAAGAAAATTATTAACTGAACGGTTCATGTTTTAGCTACAGGGCTTTAAAGCCTTTGCGTAAAATTGATTCAAAGAAAAATAAATCTATTTAGTTTGAAACAATGTTAATCAAATATGGGATAAAAAGGATATCTAAAACAGAAAGGAAGGTGCAAGATTATTGCTGACAAAGTGCTTTTAAAACCTCAGAGCAAAATGTTACCCAAATTTCAAAGAAAGTGTGCGCTAGATCTGAAAAAAAATCAATCATACTTCATAAAAAGTTTTTCCAAATGTGATAGAAAAAGCTAGAAAATCTGGGGTCAAGACGCAACTAAATATAGAAGATAAAAATTATGCACATTTTTGATTGATGTGAGAAAATAAAAACAAAACAAAGAGACAAGAGCTAAGATAAAGACTAAGATGTATTTTAGTTAAAACCTAACAATAAAATATTAAGCAGTTAAACATAAATCAGAAGAAATAACTGTATCAAAAAAAAGTGTTAAATAGACTTTGGAGAAATAATTATGAGTACCTCTATATATGGAAGAAAGTATTAGTTAGACTTGGGAGAAAAATTATAATTAGTTTCATATATGGGAAAAAGTGTTAGTTAGTTCTAGGATAAATTATTAATCACTTCTATATATGGGAGAAAATGTTAGTTGGACTTGGAAGAAAAAAAATATAGTTACTTCCATATACAGAAGAAAATGTTAGTTAGACATGGGAGAAATACTTATAATTTCTCCAATATAACTAGCAAAATTTCAAGTAAATCTTTAAGAAAAAGTTAGACATACCGTTGAGAGAAAGGTGGTTAGAGCTGGGAAGGAGAGTTAAGCATGCCGCGGAGAAAAATGTGCAAGTGTGAAGAAGCAATGAGACTGCTTAATTGGTAAATGAATATGAACTAAGAAGTGAATGTTATAAACAAAAGTTTTTTGTTTGAAGTTAAGCACAAAGCAACACAATGAACTTTCTGTGCTCTGCCCACCACGGGTATCGAAACCCGGTTTTTAGCATTGTAAATTCGCAGACATACCGCTCTGCCACTAGGGGGGCTAAACCAAAGTAATTGATATGAATGTCATCTTCTTAATATAGTGGACGTAGCGTGTATGTCAGTATCTATGTATGTAACCAAAATTCTTACGCCATCTATTGAATGACACCATAAACAAAAATCCATAAAATATTTCACACTTTGGGTATTCAAGATTCAGACAATTAGAAAAATAACTGTGGTATGTACAACAACCATTTCTTTATAATAGAATACAATTTTAAAAAAAAGTACTCTCCTCACAAGAAGAACACGACTTTCACTAGCACTGTACGTGTGGGTTTCATTTTATCTTTATTGATGTACTTTCTAAATATAGCATTGAGAAACTGGAGTTCTTTAAAAACGTATTTTTTCAATAAAGGGTAGCACTTTGAATATATAAAAACATTACAGTTCATATCAGTAAAATTTATGAAAATTTAGAGCTTTGTACATTGGAACATTTTGATGCAATGAGTTGCATATGACTAAAGAGCACAATACGAACACTTTTCCTGTGCAGTACTTCCCAGAAAAAAAATCATTTTTTTAGAAAATGTTCACTTTTTCTCATTTTTCTCAATGAGATATGAATACTATGATTAATAATTATTAACACAAACAGCCACCCGTAGGGCGGCGTTTCTGCTAGTTAGTAATAAGCTGTGATGAACATGAATTAAACCTTGTAAACTATAAACCAAATTATTCAATATGAAGTGTCTTAACATCATTAGTGATAAGCTGTAATAAACACGAATTACGTAGTGTAGATTATAAACCAAAGTAACAAATTAGGTTTCTGAACATCATTAGTAATAAGCTGTAATGAACACGAATTAAGTAGTGTAGCTTATAAACTAAAGCATTGAATATAAATGTAGTTTAACGTCATTAGAAATAAGCTGTAATGAACATAAATTAAGCAGAGTAGATTATAAACGAAAGTATTCAAAATGAAGTGTCTTAACACTCTTTAGTAATAGGTTGTTTTTTGTTTCAGATTACAAACAAAACAAGAGTTTGCCATATGGAAGAAGATGATGTTTGAAAGCATATATATATATATATGCATGTATGTATGATTTCTCTATTCTACACTATTGAAATACGTGTGCAAATATGTAATTCCATATAAATTATAACTATTTTACTCGCTAAATTGTGTATATGTGCCAAATATCGATGCTGTAAAAACGCATCTTTTGCAACAATATTTATCAGTACACCCTTTGCAAGTTACACAAAGAAACTGTAGATGCATAATGATTATTGATTATAACATAATTAGAGTTTATGATTGGAATGCTTTAGTAGATTTGACAACGAACTTTCCACGTAGTTCATCACTCGACCATCTTGTGAGACAAACGAGTATTTAAATCAGTTATAATTTCAGAAAGTATAGAATATACACTATCTACCAGAGGAGAACGCTTGACTTGATCAAGAAAAGCGAGGACATTTATAATTAGAAGTAACTAACTTCTGTTTCTGAATATTCAATGAACTTGTTTGTTATCCAGAAAATATCAAAGTTTTGTCTCTTAAGATATTTCAAATTTTCAAAAATGGTATGATAGACTAAAGCACTTGTAACGTTGTCCGAAAGTCACTTCTGACGTTGTACATATTTTACGTTCACTATGACTGTGTCATCCAATAGGGAAGGCTAAATTTATATGGTCGTTACAATTGGAACATTCATATCTATCTATATATATATATATATTTCTACTGTACAAATTATGATATTTTGATTGATAGACTAAAATTGAATTATACTTTATATTACAAAAATAAATACTGGAATTACAGGGTTTAATATATAACGAATTTTACTGTAAGTGACTTAAAAGTGTTTTATTTTTTTAAATTGGTAACACTCTTTTATTACTAATAAAATTTGTACTAAAACATTATAGTTATCGTTAAAGTAGACTTAGTTGATAAATAAAAACGTAGAAGTGTACAACATTATAATGATAGTTAGGAATAGAGTATTGGTGAGATGGATTACAGTTCAGTAGTTGTTATTTAAGTACGGAACATAAAGCAGTATTGAAATATTGCATAATTAGTAATGTAACATAGTAGTATTTCATAGAAGATAATTCATAAATTAAAACTAGCTGACAAATTATGTTTCTACTTATATCTCTAGTTCTGACATAATTTGGTAAAATCTACTTTGTGAAGCCATGGCGTTTCTGAATCCATATGGTACGCTAAACTTATATTAAGATACCAACTTACATATATACTAAGAACGATATATCAATGTAGCTGTATTACATGATGGTAACAATTGTACAGAGAAGTTCATTGAATGCTTCCTTTGATTGTTCATTGAGAAGATTAAGCAGCAAAATACTTGAATGGAATATATTAAGAACGATATGTCATTGTAGCTGTATTACATGATGGTAACAATTGTACAGAGAAGTTCATTGAATGCTTCCTTTGATTGTTCATTGAGAAGATTAAGCAGCAAAATACTTGAATGGAATAGTTACTAACTGTTGAGCTCCAACTGGCCTAAAGAGTACTGATATTGAGGTAAATGTCTTGTTCCTAGTGGTCTACAATAAACAAAATTATCATTTCAATACTGTGAAGTATTTTTTTTCTTCTGAAATTCCTTATGAGAGTATAAAACGTATAATGTTAACACATATTAGTAGACTTATAGTAATGTTCCAGTACACTTTTGTAGCCTAAAGGTTTTTTAAACACTTTTTAATCTTCTCCAGAAACAAAGTTACCATACTCGTAATGACAGATGTTTTATTGTCTCAACATATGGTCTTATTTCTACTTCTATGGCCTCATTCCTTTTTCTTATGACCTTATGCTCTTTCTCTTTATAGTCACATGCCTCTTATTATATGGCCTTATCTTCTCCTATGTTATATGTTTAGTTTTATGTTTTTTGTCACATCATTTTTTATTTGTCTTATACTCTTCATCTGTGACCTTATCGTCTTATATTGTATTATCTCCTTCGTCAATGACCTAAATTTCATTAACTATCGTTTTATGCTTATTGCTTTATGTGGCATTATCATTTTTATGTTTGCTATATTTGTTAATGACTTCATCATCGTTACTAGTCGTTTTACTCTTCTTCTGTGATCTTTACTTGTTTAGTATATCTTATGTTTCTGTCTTTTTTTCATGAATGTTTGTTTTCCTTTTCTTTAAATCTTCCTTAGCAACTATTTTTTACTCGTCTGTTTACACAAGAAATAAAAACAATTCACGAACAATATTTTTTATTTGTCCAAAATACGCAAATTTTAATAATTACAATTCATATCAAAGATCTGATACTCTTTTAGGGCATAGTAATAATCGTCGTTAATTTTTCCAAGGCTGCTTGTTTAGAAAGGAGTTAATGCAAAGTTAAAGTTTGGAAAAGGGAGCTAAAATGAAAGAAATATAACAACTTTGATAGAGATAACCGGTCCCATTAATGAAGAAGTAACTTACCTTACTGCAAAATAGTTTAAGAGGTGACACTAATTCTACAAAGTAGTTAAGAATATATTACGTTTACCAATAGAGTTAAATATACAGACTTTGTCATAGATGTGATAACGTGACATATATGAATGCCATACCCATTTTATTCAACATGAAATAAAAAAAATTAGCGTATTTTTGTACCTACCTTATTTGTGTAGTCTTGAATTTAATGAACAGATATTTTCATATTGTTTGAAAGACTACAATATTTGAGGTTTTATTGTTATGGACGTTCACAAGTTCTCAAAAATGTTTAATTATATTATATGATATGTTCAGTTAAAGACTGAAGTGTTAAAATATTTGCTTTCCAACTTACTCCGCTTCTGAAACAAAAACGATGATTAAGGCGTTCTTAGTTGTTTTGAAAGATCTTTGATGTCTTAGAAAGATAATATATTTCGAATCGTATATTCGTAAATAAAGTTATCTAAAATGTTTATAAGTCGTATTTAGCAAACGTATTTCACAACTACGTTAAAAATATTTCATTTAATGAGGGATGTCTCATAGATGTTTGAAAATCGAAAGAAACTCATGACTTAGGTCTGATTAAAGAACCCTCCTTCCTATAAAAATAACTCTAGATAAATGAAAATGTCTTATACTACTGATAGACTATAACTGTTAATTTTAACCTATTTCATTAAAAGTGATACTGTGCTACAAAAACAATGTATACCTTTTTATGCGTACAGTTCATGAGACAACATCTATGCTGCACGAACATGTGGCACTATGTTTTTTACTTTTGTGGTAAAGCTAGGGTTGATAAAGTAAAATTTACTTATTTTAAGAAGTGTTAATATAAACAACTTACTTTGTGAATAATTTCGTTAACTCGTGAAATGCTGATGAAGTAAATGCTGTTAAAACACTGAATATAAACCCAACTACGTGTATATATAAATGGGATGATTTTTAAAATATACATGACATAACGACCATAATTAAAGTGGCAATCTGTGAAAATGAAGTATAAAGTTAAAAGGTCTAAAGTCGGTTTGGACCATAGTGTGGAACATTGTTGTTGTTGTTATGACAGTTATAAATATTATATTTTAATTAAGAAATGATAATAGTTATCTAACGATACTGCTGAGTTTAGATTATGTAAATAGTCCTGTGTATTGTAGATTATACATTCTTTCATTCAGCTACTAGTTAATTGTTGAAAATGTTGTTATTCCTGGGTGTTATATTAACAGGTTACATGTGTGATCCACAAAGTGTACAAAGATAGGCGTATACTTGTGTACAAGAGTCATACTAACAAAAACGATATTGTATTTGCTGTATCCGATATCATGATTGTAGCAAGAGTACGGTGTTAATATTGCTTGTTTTTTAAAGTAAATACTGTCAAGAGTAGTGGTGAGAGACTTTACGTAATTTTAAAGATGAATTGGCAAATCAAATGTATTCGAAAAATATTGTCCACATAAATTGTCCATTGAAGGATGTAAATTACTGGTAAGCTTTCAAGTGAGTTGGAGTTTGGATCATATATATATATGTGAAGAATTGTTTACGTGGTGACAGATATTTTGTATTTTGAAGTTGCTTGATGATATATGATGTGTTACGATTTATAAAGTTTCTCAGATGTTACTTTCCTAGTCCAATCTTTAAGAGATGAACATGAATCCAAGTCCTTTTTGTGATAAAATTCAAACGATACATATTAGTATGAATATTTAATTTAAAACATTATAACGGTTTTGCTTCAAAATAATTGTGATAACACTATCTTTCTATCTAATAGTACTTTATTTGAATTGTTACTATCTCGATAGATAGTTTTTTTCCTCCGAAAACGGGATAAGTTCGATGTCTACAACTTTTCACGAAATATATTTATAATATGTTTGCATTCCTTGCGGCTGCCATAGGTTTTATCTTGATGAATAAATCTCTTGAATAAAAGTACGAAATTGATTTGAAGATTTACCTGCAACTTTCAAGAATAGAGCTGTTTTATCTTAGTACGAGACTCATGATGTTTAACTAGATGAGCGAATGAGAAATGCTATACGTACTGTTAAACATATTTAATGCGATATTTGAATTTCGAGTTTTCTTACCCTATTTCAATGTCATTCCAATTAGATGATTCATTCTTTCGTTTTTCTTGTGATAATTATGCCTACGGGAACAAACATCCATATAATTTTGAAATTTTGAAACCCGCTGTTTCGGGTTTGAATATATAGAAAAAAAATATTAATCTTAATTTGTTGAAATAGCAATTCTAGTTATGATCAATTCTGGTATGATTGTAAGTTATTTATTTATTATATGTATATTCTATAGTTAATCTAATCTTATACAGTAAGATAATCTTTTCTTATAATTTTGCTTACGTATCGTTGAATAAGAACTGAGTTTTATTTCGATCATAATTTAAGCATTTTATAAGTTGGTCATTTGACTATATCATGCACACATTTCATTCTTAAGTGAGAACTGAAATCATCAGTTTAATGTGTATAATTTATAAAGTATTTGTTGGGCAGCAAATTATATATGTTTGAAAATGTTCTTTTTGTGCAAGTATGTTTTTCAACTTAATAATATACAACTAAATATTTCTGATGTTATTGTCGCCTTTTACTAATAAACCGACGTTGCGTGTGGTTTCAGTTGTAATAAAAACAAGCATATTAATCAATAAGTAAAACAATGCTTTCTGTGTAAATTAAATTAACAGTGCTAGAGCTTTCTTTATCGCGATTGCATTTTAAAACATAAGATTTAAAAAATATAAATGATAGATTTTGCTATTAATATTACCTTACTATAAACGCGTTCACTGCCTCATTTAAAGTCGTACTAAGTTTGTATATAATTATATTACTAATTGTTATCCGTGTTTGTGTAACGATACAGACAATAAATAGTACTGTTACTGGCTAGCTGCCTTGATTCATATAAAGCCATGCTAAGTTTGTAAATAATTATATTACTAATTGTTATCCGTGTTTGTGTAACGATACAGACAATAAATAGTACTGTTACTGGCTAGCTGCCTTGATTCCTATCTATCAATGTAATAGAAGGTTAGTTCGCTCTTATTAGTTTCTTCTTGGTGCCGAAACGTTAATCTCTCTCTCTAAAGAAAATTCTCCCAGCTTACAGATAAAAGGCAGTTTCTTTCTCAAACTTTGTTGCCGATTTTTATTTCACTTCATGATCACGTTTCTATAACCTTGCCCAACATAGCTGTATCCGTCTTCCAGTTCTCTTTCCAAATGGAAGAACATCTTTCAGCCCAAGGAATGACCTATTTTTACCAAAACAAACTACTAAGTCACAATAAATAAACAATTATATAAATGGCGAAAATTCACCACGTAATGAATAAACATTCCAGTAAAAGTTTGTTTGAAGTAGATTGTGTTTATTTAAAACTCATAAATAAAAATTCAGTAGTAGTGTTTTGAAGCAGGTGGTGTTTAGTTAAAAACTCATGAATAAACATTCCAGTAAAAGTTTGTTTGAAGTAGATTGTGTTTAGTTAAAACCCATAAATAAACAATTCAGTAGTAGTGTTTTGAAGCAGGTGGTGTTTAGTTAAAAACTCATGAATAAACATTCCAGTAGCATGTTTGAAATAGGTTCTGTTTAATTAAAAACTCATAAATATGTAACGGTCTGTAATGAACACCCCGCTACAATCAGGGTTCAACAACAAAAACAGTTTATACACAATAACAACACTTAAAAATAAATTCAACTCAGCTAATAAACAAGTGCCTGCCCGGACATCACACCAATATTAATAAATACTTTATCATAAATATTAATAAATCAACAATGAAATCAGGAAAAAGAACCAGAAAGAAAAAACCTAATTTCTCCCCCCAAAAAACAAACAAACAAACAACAATAACAAATATATGACATTCCAACAACACCTTTCAATATCATTAGCAATATCGAGTGACAAACAGCAATAACTATACCCTCCAAAAAAACTCACGAATAAACATTCCAGTAGTAGTATGTTTGAAATAGGTAGTGCTTAATTAAAAACTCACGAATAAACAGTCCAGTAGTAGTAGAATGTTTGAAATAGGTGGTGCTTAATTAAAGATTCACGAATAAACATTCCAGTAGTAGTATGTTTGAAATAGGTGGTGTTCAATTAAAAACTCACGAATAAACAGTCCAGTAGTAGTATGTTTGAAATAGGTGGTGCTTAATTAAAGATTCACGAATAAACATTCCAGTAGTAGTTTATTTGAAATAGTTAGTGTTCAATTAAAAACCCATGATTAAACATTCCAGTAGTAGTATGTTTGAAATAGGTGGTGTTCAATTAAAAACTCATGAATAAACAGTCCAGTAGTAGTATGTTTGAAATAGACGGTGTTTAATTAAAAACTCATGAAGTAGTATGTTTGAAATAGTTAGTGTTCACTTAAAAACTCATGAATAAACGTTCCAGTTGTAGTATGTTTGAAATAGTTAGTGTTCAATTAAAAGCCCATGATTAAACATTCCAGCAGTGGTATGTTTGAAATAGGTAGTGTTTAATTAAAAACTCACGAATAAACAGTCCAGTTGTAGTATGTTTGAAATAGTTAGTGTTCAATTAAAAACCCATGATTAAACATTCCAGTAGTAGTATGTTTGAAATAGACGGTGTTTAATTAAAAACTCACGAATAAATATGTTTAGAGTAGTTAGTGTTCAATTAAAAACCCATGATTAAACATTCCAGTAGTAGTATGTTTGAAATAGACGGTGTTTAATTAAAAACTCATGAAGTAGTATGTTTAGAGTAGTTAGTGTTCAATTAAAAACCCATGATTAAACATTCCAGTAGTAGTATGTTTGAAATAGACGGTGTTTAATTAAAAACTCATGAAGTAGTATGTTTGGAGT